TCTCCTACATGTCAAAATGGTGTCTTTTTAATGGTTATTGATTGTCATCCATTGCTTCATATTAAAAAACGTAAATATATAAATGGACATTCCACTTAATTTGGGTTAATTAAATTTTATGCACAATATTATATTAATTGCCAATAAAACCCAATTTTCAAATTTCATCTATCCTACGTGGCAAAATAGTGTCTTTTTATTGGTTAATGAGTTTTTTTTTATTATAATATTTTCATTAAAAAAATCGTGGGACTGAAATGCAATTATGTTCCACCACATATATCACATATTATTATTAATTTCAAAATAACCCAACTTACCATAGTCACCCATAGTATTAATGAATTAATTTCACAATAATGATTTTTAAATTTTATCTCTCCTACATGTTTATTTTTAAAGTAGTATAGATAAAATAGGTAATTACATCAATTTATATTAATTACTTTTTTTGTTACCTTTTTTATATTCCCTAACTCTACTATAAATTAACATTCAACATGATGTACATTCTTCAACTTTTCCACATACTTTTTTTTTTTTTCTGTTTCCGAGATATGGAGAGAATTCTTGAAAAAGAATTGCATTGGTATCACCTACATGCAATGGTATATTCATCATAGTCTCTTTTTTAGTGTAACAATGAATTATTACTTTATTTTGTATATGATTTCTTCATTCAATTTTATATGTAGCCTTTAAAGAATGCTTTTGTTGAGGCTTCTCGGTTGACCGGATTGTCTACTATCAATATTCGATACGAGGAGGGAAATCATTTTCAAGTTGCGGTATCTTCGCGCCAAAAACATGGAAAAATGTTTATGTTGTTGACTAAGGGTTAGACAGAGTTTTGTTACGCACATAACATGGTTTGCGGCAACACGTATTCTTTTTTTTTTAACCAATGGGATGATGTATAACTTGAGGTGTGGCACGGCCCAGCCTTTCCAACGATATGATATGTCTTCGCCCTCCTTAAAGTTTTATTATTAATAATATGAGTTGCATCGATTTATAAATAATTTCCATTTTTTTTAGTGTTTTATTTATCATGTTGAAAGAGCATTGTATACCATTAACATAATTGTGCGTCTTCCCACGAAAACGAATACCCATAAAATAATTAAATAAATATATAGAAACGATAAAACAATTATAATATATTACAAAAATAGTCACAATATATATCACGTATTTTTAAATAAAAGAATCCATTAAATCAATAGAATCAATATACATATTTAAACAATATATTCCGTTATTTTTATAAGCAATTTTAATTGTTCAAAAAGCATAACCATTATATATAATAGTGTGTAATTAACATGTTTGAAATTTATATTGTTTTTTCCCTAATCCGTTATATATATATATATTATATATATATATATATAAAAAATATATATATATATATGTTTTTATGTATTTTATATATATATATATATATATATATATATATATATATATATATATATATATATATATATATATATATATATATATATATATATATATATATATATATATATATATATATATAACGGATTAGAGAAAAAACAATATAAATTTCAAACATGTTAATTACACATATATATATATAATGGTAAAGTATCTACATCAAAATATCCACTATATCAGTATACACTATATATATATATATATATATATATATATATATATATATATATATATATATATATATATATATATATATCCGTAACAATAGAAACATGCTTTTTTTATGAAGATGTAATCTTTTATATTTATGTAGGTGATCTATATTTAATATAGATTAGGCATATAAATATATGCCTAATCGTAATTTATGCATTTTATTTATAGGAAATTGCTTAATTTTAGTTAATTACATGGAATATGAATATTTATTAACTATAATTTACTCTAATTTCGGTACTATTAAATATAATTGTATTTTATTTACTATAATTACGGAACTAAAATTTAGGAATTATAATTTTACTTCCATGATTATATTTCATTTACTATGATTTAGGAATTATTAAATATCATCATATTATATATACACGGTTCATTTCATTGTTATTGTAATACTAAACTGCAGGATAATATACTCGATACTTCACCAGCCGACCATCGTTCTCTTTTTGTGAATCGTGAGTATAATATTATTTTAGAATAATCTTTTACCTTTTTTTTAATTTTTTTCTTTCACGATGAATTAATGTAACTTTATCATATAGATTATATATTATACTTTATGCATATTCTGGAATATATATAATTCAAGAGTTGTTATCGTATATTCATCTTTTATTGTTTGATTTAATTCACTAACAAATTTTTGATTACGTGTATTAAACACATATAGATGTCAAGGCAAGTAGATCTCATTAGAAACTTGGGAGGTGAAAAAAAGTCATGGAATCTCAAAATCCGTGTTTTGCACATTTGGAAACAGCCAAATTATTTTAAGAAAGATCTTCAAGACATGGAGATGATATTCATTGATGAACAGGTGATTATTTTATTTTAATACGTCAAATATGATTGTTAGGAAATTATATTTTTCACATTTGTTTTTTCATTACGCAGGGTGATACAGTGCAAGCTTCCATTAAGTATACACTGTTATACAGATTTGAGTCTAAGATCAAAGTGAACAGATGTTATGTAATGTCAAACCTATCTGCTTTTTTTAGTGTCAAGACCTACAAGCATGCCTTGAATGACTATAGAGTCACTTTTGAATATACATCTACTGTGAGAAAAGTTGACGTTCCGTCCATTCCAATGTATTCATTTAAGTTCACACCTTACGCAGATATACAACAAGCGTCAAACAACAATGAGTATACGATAGGTATTAAATTTTTCCATTTATGTTTTTCTTAATATTTAGCATTTATTTACTGGATGTATTCTTACAATTGTTTAATATTAATTGCAGATGTTATTGGTTCGCTTTTGTCGATAGGTTCATTGAATCACCTATTGGGTGGAACAAAACAAAACATTCCATTTGAACTTGAAGATATTGAGTATTTTAAAAAATCACTAAAATATATTTTTTTTTGGATTTTAAATCATTTATGTTTTCATGTGTTTTACATATCAATTATCATTTTATTTGTTATGCAAGTGGTTCGAAGGTCAACTGTTTGTTATGGGGAAAGTTTGCTGAATACATACTTCAACGAATTCAAGACATTGGTGTAGGGCCGTATATTGTTGTAATACAATTTGCAACGACTGAGATAAAGAATGGTATTAGTTTGTTCAATAATTTCTTTTATGCATCATGTATAATTAATGTTAGGGTCATTTATTACATTTCACTATTACTGTTATGTTTTCGTAGGTGAAGTTCAGGTATCTAACCATTGGCATTCATCACGCGTGCTTATAAATGAGGATATACCTGCAATTAATGAGTTCAAATCGAGGTTACAATTGTATATTTAAATGCATTAATTACGTTTTTTTAAAATTTATTTTTTTCATTACGATTTATTTGCATGTAACTTTTCATTTTAGTCTCATTCGGAGTAAACCAAATAGTGGTCAAGTGATAAGTCAAAAATCGTCGCAGTCTTCTTACTCGATGGAAGATGATTTCATACGTAAGACTGTCAGAAAAAATTTGGACGAACTGAGTGACACAAATGAGGTAATAACGATGTATTTGCTACATTATTTATTCGTACATTTTCAGTAAAAATACTAATAGGAATCATTTAATCAAAATTGATTATAACTATACTTAACTGATGTTTATTTTCACATTTTAGCCTGGCAAATATGTTGTATTGGCCACTATTAAGGGTCTTGTGAAAACATCAAAGTGGTGGTACAATGGTTGCATTAAGTGTAATAGATCTGCTAGACAGGATTCGAAAATGTGGTATTGTCACGTTTGCAAAGCTCATTGGCCTACTACTAAGCCAACATATGTACTATTTTTTTTCTTTGGGTTAATTATATTACTATTCTACAAATACTTTTCATTCACATTTTGTTATTCTCTTTAGTTATAAAGTTGAAGTCATTGTCATGGACGAAACAAATTCAGCTTCGATGATTGTATTTGGGAAAGAAGCTGAAATGATGCTAGATATTCCTGTAGAAGCATTAATTCAAACAGTCCAAAACAGGGTACATTGATCAACCACTCATCCTTTTTTTTATCTAAAATATACATTTTTTTAGAGTAATCAATTAATTTTGTATTTTTATCATTTATTTATTTTTAATGCTATGAAGGGAGAAGAACCTGTGGAGTATCCTATGGAACTTGAGGGGTTAATTGATCGAAGAATGTTATTCAAAATTGCTATCAAGGGTGATAATGTTGCCAATGAAGATCATAAAACATACAATGTTCAAAAAGTTTGCACAGATGATGTTATCATTGCTTCATTCTTGAAGCATTACGAAATGGATGCGGTATTGATAATTAAGTTTAATATAATTCTTTCTTTTTATTTTAATACGTGGTATTGAATGTGTATGTATTTTATAATATTGCAGAAACATGATAATGGTTCATCGTCGCTGAGTGTCAATTATGACAACGATGGGTGTGTCTTCTCATCAAAGGTTGACAATTTATTTTTGATTAATTGTTCATATGTTGCACGTAAGAGATGTTTCACAAATACATAAATATTTTACGTAATTCTTTGCTAATTTATAGGACTCTGGAACGTGTTCTAATTTTAACGATGGCGTTGTGGATGGTGATATCACAACTAATGCTATTGTGGATGATGATGTCAACGCTATTACTCCAATGAAGCGATCCAACGATTGTATTTTGGATAGTATTCTCAATGATCCTACCGTCCAACAATCATCCACCAAAATATTGAAAAAGATCAAACAAGAGAAAATGGAGTAATGTATTATTTAAATTTATTTGTCATTTTTTGTTATTCATTTCGATTTTCTTTGGTATTTCGTATTTAGAGACATAATATGTATTTCTATTTCGAGACAATGTCCTTTATACTTTTGCATGAAGTTTATTTCAATAAAGTTACTTATGTTTTTTAATGCGGCAAACGTATTTATTCATTTATGCCAAAATGAATTATGAATATAAATAAAATTGTTTATATATTTGAACATTAATTGCGTTACAGAGATTATACATTGACATACGAAAGAGAGTACCCATATAGATAACATTGTTATTTTTACGTAAATATTTTTATTTATAAATATAATAATCTATATTATATTCTACGATCTACGTAATATATTTTATGAAACATTTACGTATGAATCAGATTAATCACCCATGTGTTAATATATTTTCAAATAAAATTGATAAATTAATACCGGTTAAAATAATTTTTATAATTACATGTATTAAATTAACAATAATAAATTGTTATAACATGTTTAGTAACCAACTTATTCACACGTAAATGCCTCTTTCAATATGAAAATTAAATATTTTACATTCTACTAAAACCTATTAATATTTATGTTTTTTAATCTCGAGTTGTGTTTAGGGTAATAGGATCCGATATTTTCAATAAAATAAAGGCAAATATATTAATCATCTATATAAGATTTTTAGTTTTTTTTCTATTAACTTTGACATTAATTTTGAAATCCGTGGACTGTAATAATTAAATAATTATATGAATATAGTGTGTGTATTTTCTAACTTTATTTTAAATACTCATATATTTTGAAATATTTTGATTATAGAAAGAGTATTAATTTATGCAATGTTAACTTAAATCAATTATATTTTTAAAATATCACCATATATCATTTATTCCTAGATTAAAGCTCATTTTAAAATTTGAATTTTTAATTTTTAATCTACTTTCCAAATTATGCGTATATTCCAAACTATATAATCTCCCTAACCCAATGTTATTTTCAATAATCAAACCACATTCTTCAAATTATTGTACGTAAATATTTTCACTCAAGAATTATTGATTTTATATTTTTTAATCGTTCTTTCACCCACATTTATTTACGCACAATACTGTACGGATTTTAATACCCCCTTCCCTCCCCCATTTTTTTAATCTTTCAATCCCGAATCCAAATTCGTTCGAGGTGAAAATGGAAGTTCAACTAAAATATATATATATATTTATATATTTAACCGAGAGTATATATTTTTTCCTTAATATAATATCCACATGTACTATAATTTAGGGATTAGTTGAAAAACAAATGGAATATTTAAAAAGCATATTATTCACATTTACTCTAACTTAGGCATTAATGTAGGATTGTGATTGTTTTTTTTATATTATTCACATTTACTATAATTCAGGGATTATTACTATAATTTAGTAACCATTAAGTATTATGATCAATATATAGAGACTTTTAAAACGGATAATAAATATATTTTAATATAAAATTGCTATTAATTAATGAAAGTTAGGTAATTATGTTTCATTAACTAGAATCTGACTATTTATTGCAAGAAAAATTTTGTACATTAAATAGTTTTGTAACATGCTTACAAAATATCCAAATCAACCATTAAATTAGGAACTAATTACTATAATTTTTGAATAATTACTTCTTACCATCTTATATATATACACCGTTTATTTCATTTCATTGGTTGTATAAAGTGCAGAAAAATTATATTATTCCAACTAATCATCATTTAGATATCGTTCTCTTTTTATGAATTTTGAGTATAATAGTATTCTTACAATCCGATCCACGCAATACGGTACGTGGCATATAAGATCGATATTTTGTAGTTAACTTCCTTTTTCATTTATTTTATAGTGTTCGAGTATAGTTTTACCGAACGAGTACATGTAGTTATTAGTTATTTACCATGTATTGCTATTAAATCACATATAGTTCACGTTGTGTAATCATCTCTTCATCTTTCCTTAGGCTCTCTAAATCATATATCTACTTTTTATTTTCTGCATATATTCATGACTTTACACTTTAGTCCAATTTATGTATATTGTGGAACATTTATATAATTTTTATTCGTATTTGTTTCAAAGTATGTTTTATGTTACGTATACAATTTTATTATATTTATTTACATATTAAAATTTTCGAGTTGAGTAGATCTTATTCATATAAGATCTATGTATTTATATACATACATCTTATAAATGATTTAACAATTTATATGAAACATTTTTTTTATATGAAAGTCATTCAATTTTCTATGTATATGATTACAATATATTCTTCTTTTTTCCCATTCTAAGACACAATATGAAGAGATATTTTTGAATGCTACAAATATTGATTACTTTTAATTATATTTAATAGAAACATGCATACACACATCTAACTGTGCAGCTTAAGTTTTGCAGGTTTATGTGCATAGTATTTACATATGGATAATAAACGAAAGACGCCTTCTTCACCTGAAAAATCTATATTATACGATGTACCTATTGGTAAGCTACATATTCGTGTTGTAAATGTAAATATTTTTTCAGGTGTATTATCGATTTATTTTTTTATCTATAGTTTCAGATCTATCAATAGAAACAATTATTAAAAGGGATGCAAGCCCATGGCCACAGGATTACCTTCATAACACTAGGTCTCCTGCAAATACTTACCAACGTAAGTTATCAATAATCGTTATTTACTTCATAATTCCATAAATGAAATATTTTTGTAAAATTATGGATATATAGATCATAACAAACTGTATGTGTTTTTATTACATGGTCATATATTTTCTTTAAATTAACTGTTATTTGTTTAAATTCATTGGACTCAGATAAACAAACTCCAATTCAGTCAGTATTTTCAACTAGAGAAGTCATCATGGACAATAATGTTTTGTCTCCAAAATTTGTTGGAAGTAAGTATTATAAAATATTTAGATCACCTGGGGTAGTATAGAAAACGAACTGGGAGAGCAAAGCAGATCAGTAGCTTGACAACTTGATGATCCTGAGGTACCTGCGATCATAGAACACATAAGCTAAGCCGGGGGTTGATCCGGCGGAAACCCCTCCGACGCTCAAGTCAGACGTGCTGATCATAGAAATGGTCCAGAGAATACGTATTGTAGTATTGCTCAGTTAATAGGACGTACCTTAATAAAATGAGTAAAACCTCTATTTATATGTCGTTTATTGGGTTGGGTTTGCTTTGTTGGGCCCAAGCCTTACTTGAAGGTGTTTGGGCATCGGTGATATTGGTCTTCGATATTGGGCTCGTAGCCCAGTAGGTAAAGAAATTGTAGGCCCATTGGGTTGGCCCAATTAGGCATATCATTAAGCCCCCCACTCTCGAGTCGATGTGGGGGCCATGTTGTGATGGGTCTCAGATCGTGTCGAGAGTAAAAATTGTAGAAGTCGATCGTTGGCGTGTGGCCTAATGGTATGCGAAAACGCGTTGGAGCGTGTGTCGGAGGGGTGTGAATGCGCGTTGGCGCATAGCGCGACAAAGTTGCCGCGATATAAGTTAATTGAGTCATCGGTTTTGTCCCGCGACGATGTAGTAGCGAACTATCTCCTCGTGGGAGTTGTCTCGTCGCGGGGTAATAGTGTTGATCGAGTTATCTCCTCGTGGGAGTTGTCTCACGATAATGTAGTAGCACGGATCAATTAATCTCCTTGTGGGAGTTGTCTCTGGGGTAATAGAATTGATCGAGTTATCTCCTCGTGGGAGTTGTCTCGCGATAATGAAGTAGCACGGAGCTAGTATTCTCCTCGTGGGAGTTGTTTTTTATCGACATTGTCAATGTTTTGACGCGTTGCTTGTATGTGTTTACATATAGCCTTGTGCGTGACGTACTTGACGAGGGGATCAGGCTCTCAAGA